GCGCGGCAAGAATCTCGGGAGGATAGTTTTTGGCAGCAGTTTTCAGAGGGAAGGACGCCCAAGCGGTTTTAAGGGCGCGGCCCCCCCCCCCCCCCCCCCGCTGTCGAAGACAACCACGGAAACATTGCACTCCTTACCACACTCGCTGCCACATGCTAGTTGTCCAGCGCAAAACCGTGGGTATGTCCCTCGTAATGGAACCAACAGCAACACAATTCCCCGGGACTACAAGTCAAGCCGCGGCGGTCGCGCCCTCTGTTCCCCGCCTGCCGTACTATTCTCCCCCGTCTCACCGCCACCGCCGTTGTAGCCGGAATCAATTAACCGTGACTCGACTTCTATCCGATCAGAAGCAACAGAGCGCGATCCTGAGGCCGCTAATGAGATCGAGGATGAAATGCTACTTGGTGATAAGTTCGTCCTACTAAACTCTATCCGCTCGGCACCATCTTTGTCGTGCCCCGCTGACTCTCTTCTCCCCTCCGCCCCCATTGCCCCGCTGGCACCTCTTTCCTTCTCCCCGTCTCGATCCCCTAGGCCTACTTGCAAACTTCTGCTGTTTCTGGCGCCTTTCGCTGAGGACGTTATAGACGATGGTGCTCCTTCGTCCCCATCCCCGTTGTCTTTCCTGGGTGTTCGAGTGCTGTTTCTGTGCCGGGAATTTCGTGACCGTTTCCCCGACGACGCCCGCACTTCCTCCGGCGCCCCGCTGACGGATTTACCAGCCCCATCCCCCCCACCCCTCCCTCCTCCCCCTTCTCTTGTCTCTTCTAACTTCGGCAGAGAACTTTTCTTGTGATCATTGACGGATTGTACGGACCACTCGCCATCACCACCACTAGAAGTCACCCAGACGGATCTCTCCGCTGTGCTCCCTCCGACTGGCCTTGCCCTCTCCATCCTCTTCCCAATCGGACTGGGTATCATGTCGTCCTGTCCCCCAATATCTCCTCGCCCCACCCCTGAGACACTTCCTCGGTCGCCGACGACGCCGCCTCTCCCTTCATTGATGCTCGTCATGTTGGATCCTGCAGGTTCAAGCTCTTGTGTGCGTTGTCGCTGCTCCTCAGTCGACCTCCTGTTGGGGAACAAGGCGTGCGGCAACGGTGCATTCTTATCCTTTGTTCTCTTCCGGGATTCGGTGGAATGCGAATGTAGAACAAAACGACTCTTTCCAGCAGCGGGTTTCTCGAATGCCAATGTACAACAAAACGACTCTCTCCAGCAGCGGGTTTCTCGGAAAGGTTTCGCTAGCGATCTGCATGTCAACCACCTGGACCCTACCACCTGGGACCCCAAAGCGCGTTATTGTCGCTTTTTCCAGCGTATGTTCACAGAGTCTGGATACAACATCACTCCCTGGTTGCCGGCCTCGCCAGGTGTAGGCACTCTAATTGACGCTGTTTCGCGATCCAACCTTTCTTTGAAGTCTCACCTAAATTCCAAGAAGCGGCGGAACGCCTTCTGGATAAATTCCGCGGCCAGTATGTGGTCAAGTGTGACAGTCCCTCCCGAAACTGGGTTGACCATGTAGTCGTGACTATTGATACCCGACGTCTTCTGCCATCCAGTGGCCAGCTGCAGAACATCAACGCAGGGGGCGGGAGTGGGGCCGGGAGGAGGAGAGGGTGTATATGCTGCAAAGCAGATGTGCCGCATTGCTTCTCAGGTGGGTTTATGCACAGACCCGAAGGCTTGTTGATGGGACGCACTGGGTCGTGGACTGAAGTTGAGGTGCGATAGATTTTGTCTTGTCTACAAGAAACGCCTACTACAGTACACCACAACTACAAGATTCGACAAAGAGATTCACACGTACCGTAGCAAATTGACTCGCTGTCTGTCTGCGTAAACTCAATCAAAATCGAGCCCTGAAGTTCTGGTGTGGTGCTGTTGAAACACTTGCCTTCGCCTGGAAGTACTGTGGCAGGTCAATCGTAGCTCCCTTTTTCTCGGCCTCCAAGCGATGGACTTCCTCGGATAGCGCGAGAAGTACATCCTGCTCAAGGGGGGTGGGGGGGGCGGAGGCGGGGGGAACTTCTTGGTTAGCTATGCCTGTGTTGTGGTTGCATTTGTTGAACGAGATGCTCTCCGGGAAATCCTTGCGGGAAACCGCAGAGAGCGCAGGCGGCAGTCGTTGAAACCGCGGGCTAAACATACAAGGAGGACCGGTCGAGGAGTCAGAATTGCTCACAAGATACAACCAAAGACCAAACAGAGTTGCGACAACGGTACATCAACCTGAAACCACATCAACACTACTCTGTTGCCTACAAGAATAACTCGCCTTGAAGTGCACTTTGTTATCGTTGAAGATGCGCAGCTTGAGGCGTCTAATGTGGGCGCGCACTTCCCGGTCTGACGCCTGGTAGTCCTTGCCGAATCCCCACGGCGCGAACAAGGTTTGTAGGAAGTCGTGCAAGTCCTGTTGTATTGGTTTCAAATGCAGCAAGCGGACCGACGAACACGCCGTAGGCCGAGGTTAGCAATTATTGGACGGCATATATCTCCCCTCAATGTGCAAGCTGCTGCGTTGGTTCCATTTCTTACGACCCGTGTGTTGTACCCTGGACTTTCTATTGTATTTTACGGCAAGCTAGACAAGAGTGTGGGCTAAACGAATCGGAAGTCGATGGGTGTCAACCGCTTGGAGATAGTTTCGGCTTCTCGCAGAGTTCAGTTCACGGAATGGACTCAAAACGCGCATGAGAGTCCATATTCTGGACAAGACTCGATATTTTATACCAAAACACCAAGCGCCGTAATATACCTGGACCGAGATCAAGCACGTGGCACGAGGGTCGAATTCCGCCCAATGGCTGGCGAAGCGCGCGAAGTCCTCTTGTTTGATGACGTCATGGTCGCTCGCGGAGGCCGCGTCGAAACCGTCGAGGATGACTCCGATGAACAGGTTCATGAAGACGTACGTGATGGTGAGCGTGAAGCTGGAACGGATTGATGCGGTGGTTGCCACGAAGCGGCAGGGTAAGAGGGAATGGTATCGAGTGAGGCGTGAAAGGAGGCATGTCCTGGTAAGCGCGGCAGCCCCCCGTACATGCCAGAAAAACGCCTGGCGTCTTTCACCGAATCTCAGGCATACACACACACCCAAGACTGCACTTCATTTATTTACTTCTGAACAGTAGTGAGCCGTAGTAGTTCGATGGGGAAGATGGACCCATGTTGGCGAGGGAGATTTCCCTGAGGTTCCATCAATCGCAGTGATGACCTTCACACACAAACAAACAGTTGGCGATGAGCAAGGTACGTCGGATAGGGTGGGGGGGCGTCTTCTTCTAAACACTGTACGCTTAAATTGGTGTGGTGTGCGAATGAGCACGTGGCCGCTTACCAAGATACTTACGCCTTGCGGGCAAGACATGCGGCACGATCAAACTCCCTACTACCAGCTATATTTGCTAAGAGTAGCGACAGCAATAGCATACCTGATCATGTAGGGGAAGATAGACCAGCTCCCGCAGCCGTTGAGCGGAGTGCAGTTGGCGTGGGACGTGAACCCGCACATGTCCGGATCGTACACGGGGTTCGACACGCAGTCCTCTCGCTCGGCCACCATGTCGTACATGAATCCGTTCCAGTTCTCACCCGTACTGAACCGTAGCAGCAGCACCATCGACCCCCAGAAGGTCTGGAAGTTGGCCTGCTCATCCACCGCGCCCCTCAGTCCCACCTGTGGAGGCAAACAAGGTCGAGTTTCTTGTTCAGGGTGTTAGTCGGACGGGGGTACGTGATTTCACCAATGACACCCGGTTATCATCCCCCGAACCTTCATGAAATGATAGAAGAAAGCATGCCATGGTCTTCCGAAAGAGAACAGTTATTCCCGCACCATGCCACAAGAAGCATTGTGCTTCCATAGCGAAGAGAACAAATGCCCCCGCTCGCTTACCGTAGCAAACAGTTGCACGCCCATGACGGCGTAGATGAAGAACTGTAAGAACAAGAGAGCTCCGACGTTTCCGAGACTGGGCAACGTCAGCAGCAGGGTGTTGAACAGCTGGGCCATCGACTCCAGACCCCTCACGAGTCTCAGCACGCGTCCTATTCGGAACGTGCGGATGATGGTGGCGATGGAGCCGTAGCTCCGTCCGGTCATCCACAGCATCGCCAGGCCGAGGTTGGTGCCGATGACGATGAAGATGTCGAAGCGGTTCCACGGGTCGATGAAGTACGCCCGTCGGAATGCTAGGATCTGTCGGGGGCCATAGCATGGCGTATTGCCAAACGCCAACAAAGGAGTTTCAGGTGAGTGTTGCCGTTGAGTGCGACTGTACACGATATCGACGGTGCTAATTGCTGGTAGTCTTTTGCTCAACGCAGTACTGTACAATCTACGTACCTGTATAGATGACTAAATAGGCGTTTGAGAATGATGATAAATCAGATCTGGTAACTGCTCTGACGGATCTCCGACACAATGAGACGTCAAGAATGACAATCCCACGCTAACGCCCTCCTGACTGAAACGAATGAGACGCTCCCCCAAGTCCATTACGGGTTTTCCCCTCACCTTGATTATTGCTTCAACAGTGAAGATGAAGGAGAAACTGTAGTTGGCTCCCTCGATGCACCTACAACGTATTTGGTGGCGTTTGTAGCGGCACGACGGAGGTTAATAGAGGGAAGTGAGGATCACGCGTAGGGAGATTTGGGTTGAAAGGGCGCTGTGCCATTGTTGATGTGCGTCTTGACATGATCATGCTGTTCAGAGAAGATGTTCTCTTGTTTGTCTTCCTTCGTTGCGTCGAATATCTGGATCTCGATGCTTTGATTGCTGGCGTTTCCAACCTATGGTTGCATGTTGCCGGGTTGTGCTCCAATTTCTTTGACCCCCCATCAAAGTTACGTATCAAATTCCCCTAGGGGTGTACATGTTGTTATGCCAATATCTCTCGGCGCAGGTTGAAGCCGTTCCTAAGCATTCTTGACGCGACGTCACTCCAAGACCTGGTTATGATTCGCCTTACCTGGTGTACACGTTCCCCTGCCCGAAGAACTGCATGGCCATGACGATGGTGTTGAGGACGATGCAAATCATGACGGACGCGTCGAACCACTTGTGGTGTGACACCTTGTAGCACCAGTTTCCCACAGGATCCCCGGGCAGAGTGACACGCTTCAATGGCCTCAGGCGGTGCGTCATGTGCTGCGTCTTGATCCAGGACTGTTGCTCCTCCGTGACGAGAACTCCGTCGCCTTCAGCTTTAGATTTCATCTTTGTTGCAGAGGGCATAGAGTACAGGAATCGGGAACGAGACGTGCGCGCGTGTTATGGATGAGGGGAGACCGGCGGAAAGAAGGGTATTGATAGAAACTTCTTGCTTACTTCTGCGGGAGTTTCTAGACGTTGCACTCTCGCCTGCAAGCTGTGTATGGACTGGTACGACTATTCCAATACTCTGGGTGTCTACAAAAGACACGACTGCTCAATAACTTTTCCGAGGGCTGCTGTAGCACCACACCTAGTGCAGCTGCAATATAGCTTTATAGATCAACGGGATTGTGTTCGGTCTAAGCTTCTAAAGAGAAGAGATACCATGTCGATTACGGTATTCTATTCAGAAAGCGTCGATACGTACTCTTTGGGCGGATATGTTGTCGTAGCCAGTAGGTCACCTTGTTGAAATTGTCAATGATGACACCGACGAAGAGATTCATGACGAGGTACGAGCCGATGAGCATGAACAGCATGAAGAACCAGACTATCATCACGCGGTTGTCCCTGATTGGCTGCATGTCCACGTCGGTCGCATCTACGGCGGCGTACATGACCGACGTCCAGGCTTCCGTCGTGGAAATCTCGAAGAATGTGAGCAGGGCCTGAGCGACGTTGTCGAACTGCTGTGGAACCGTCTGGTCCCAATCCAGGCCGAGGCACTCGCACAACTGCATATGCGTGGCGATGTGGTTGTGATGTTAGAGTTCGGTCGAGTGAACATTGTGTTTCCTTTCGTTTGGGATGCGATCAACATTCATACTTGTGGGGTATGTTGTGACTGGTTCAAAGGATGAAAGGACTGTGTGCTTGTCGCGTGTAGTACGAACGCGTGCTGTCGGATGGAGTACTCCTTTCGTGTCGATATTTATCAATCCTACTCGCGGTGGTAGTATGAATGCGTCGATCGTGGTGATCGTTCCTGGAGGAAAATTCACCACTTCAACGGTCTTGATAATCAAACAGAGAGTAGGGGCGCCGGGGGTACATTTCCCCCATTTTACAGTAGTGTCGGTTGATGTTCGATTCTCCTAAACATTCATCCCCCCCCTTGTTTGCTAGCAAGCTTAGTGGGGCAGCCTATATGTGTTGGGAAACAACCATGAACGCACCTGGTAGCTGGTGGGAACGCTCGAAGCAGAAGACGGCCATTCCGTGCAACACCCGCCGGAGTCAGGCCAGCCCGCGTTAATACTCCCGCAGGCGCTCGCGGTAGTGAAGCCACCGGTGCCATTCATCGAGAACGCCGCGGAGACGTTGCTGAGAGGGCCGAACCACGACTGCTGGTCGGCCGACATAGCGTCCCACGAAGTCGGTTCTTGGATGAAAAGAGCGATGCTCTCGGGGAGAGCGTCGAACTCTTCCCCCTGGCAGGACATGAGAATGCCCTTGAAGTAGTTGACACCGAGGATAGCGAAGATGATGAAGAACATGAAACACACCGCCGCCACGTTTAGCACGTCGGGAATGGCCGCGAACAGGGCGTTCAGGACTATCTTGAGACCCGGTGCGCGGTTGATCATCCTGTTTTGGTGCGAGAATGGGATATTGGCGAGAGAAACAGTACGAGGAGCGGGGGGTGAGTTCGGTCACAAAATTCTCGAGGGGGCGTTACAGCTCTGTCTTGGATACTGCTGCTACTTACGGCGCTTTCTTCGCCTGCTCGCGAAAATACCGGAACACCGTTCAAGAGGTGGCGACAAAAGCCACACCTGTGGCTCTAGGTTGGGGTTCTATCTGCCTGCTGCTACAGTAAAGTACACCCCTGTTTATATAATCCTACTTGTTTATGCCTCTTCACCTCCATACAGTCATGTAAAAGTATGTGGTTCAGGCGATAAAGCCATGACACACTCGGGAATGCCGACAAACGATGAAGATACGATACCTTAGTGGTCGAAGTGCCCGCAGCGTGCGCAGAGACCGCAGGCTCTCGAGATTCCCCGAATCGTTCGTGACCAGCTGGATCATTGAAATCACCACCACAACGAAGTCAAGGATGTTCCACGCGCTCCGCAGGTATGCCTTCGGCATTAGCGCGAATCCGTGGGCGCAGATCTTGAGGGCCATCTCGATAAAAAACAGGGCCGTCATTACCCTCTCCACGCCTTTCAAGTACTTGGCAGTCGCGGACTCCGGGTCCCGCAGGGGGCTGTCCAGCGCCAGCGCCAGCGAGCTAACGGAAATGAGGAGGAGGATGAAGCGGTCGAAGCCGGGGTTGTGCACCACCGCGGCACACCCCTGCCGCAGCTTGTTGTCCGGCCCGAGTACGAACAGCGCCTTCCCGGGGTCAAGGTCATCGGGAACCCTCAGCCCGAAGATGGCGCTACGGCATGCCTCGTACATGTCTGCCCCAAACCGCCTGCACGCCTGCCCCGCGCGAACCACGAATCTCGGCCTTCCGCTGCCGACCTTGATTTCGTTCCCGTCGCCGCTACCTCTGCCGACGTTGGATGACATCGTGACTAGCTTACCCGCGGTCCCGTCACCGCCTGCCTTGAAGCTCTGTTGATTGGCAAGCGTTTTTGTCAGAGACTTACTGGACCCCAGCTTCGGCCTTTGCGGGGAGGGAGGAGGTGAAACCGGGTTGTATGGCGCCACTCGTGGACTACCCGGGTGTTCGACAGGTGGCCCCGCGTTTTCGCCGTTGCCCGAACCGCCGCCGGCCTCCGCGTCAACGTCGTCCTTGTTGGTGAAGTTGGATAGAAGGATGGCCAGAAACAGGTTCATGACGATCATCATTCCCATGATGATGAGGCTCACGAAGTAGAAGACGCTTACCCAGCCCGTCGCTCGTCGGGCGTCGTACATCACCGTGTTCCAGTTCTCTCCGGAAAGGATCTGGGAGCGATTTGGTTACGGATTCCGACACAAACAGACGATTGGTTTGACGGGTGCCGTCGTTAGTTTTTTTTTCCCGAGAGATGGGACGATAGCAATTGTTAGACCTGACGCGAGCAGGGGGAAATGTGAGGGAGGCGCTGGGGGGCGTAGCCTATGGGGCACACTCTACATCAGCGTCTCCCCGCGAAACCTGATCCTTTCGAGAAGGTCGGCCTGTCAGGCGCACAAGAAACGCATCCGCGGATTTAGATTTGGCGCTTTGTGTGTGGTTATTGAGACACAACTTCAGGTTAACCACAGCTTCAGGTTAACATTCCCTTCGATGGACCTCTGGTTATCTACGTGTTGTAAACGGTAGAACGGCGACTCGCCTCGAAAATCGTAGTGAAGGCGTTCATGAGAGTGTCGAAGTTTGATCTCGGCACTTCCGCGGTGTAGTATCCCGGCTCGCCTATTCCCACCACCTCGCCGACTTCGTTGAAGTGGAAGCGGTTGGCGAAAAACTGCAGGCCTACAAGGGCATAGATGTACATGAAGAGCACCAGCAGCATCCCAAAGTTGCCGATGTCTAGCAGCGTCTTTCCCAGCGTGTTGAGCAGCTCGCGCATGGAGTGCCACTCCCTGAGAAAGGGGGGATCATCAGTTACAAGTTGCCCACAGCAACGGACAAGGTCAAGGTCTTAGGGTTCCACGAATTGTTCTGGGCACCATGCTCCTCAGGCCAAGGGTTATCCCTCTTTAGTTGACATGAGTACCCTTTCAAGTCCCACCGTCAAGCGTCGCCAGAGAAAATGTGCACACCTGCTGTAACTGCAGTATCGGGAAGGGCGTCTTTGCCATGAAAGATTGTCCAGCAAATAAGACTTTAGAGAGACCTATGTATCCTTGTTTCTAGCTTCCGATGAGAAAAATTGCGTTTTTGCTGTTTCCGAAAACAAGCCATGTAGCCGTTCCTGCAGCACCTGAAACCTACATGTCACCGCAGAAAAAAAAGTGTTCCGAAAATCTCGAAAGTTTTTTACTCAACTCATCGCGTGCATTTATATTTATTTGCAGAGTATAATTTCCTCGTAACAGCAAATCAGTAACTCCAACAACCCTTCCCCGCCGATCTCGTCACCCCGGACTTCCCTAGCCGTCACGATGTACGATTTGGAGCCCACCCGTTTAACACACCTTGCGAGCTTGAAAACTCTGAACAGGCGGAACGACCTCAGCGCCGAAAGTGCTCCGCCAGAAGTATTCCCCGTCTCGCCAGTCAAGATATCGGGTGGCGAGAGGATGAGCTCCAGCAACCCGCTAATAACGATGAAACCGTCGAACAGGTTGAAGTTGTCCTTGGCGTACTCCCGGGGTCCAAGTGCCGCAACCTGCAAGTTAGATTCGTGAAAGAGGTCACTTGATATCGTAAAGCAATTGGATAGGAAAACATTTCTTCAAGGTTAGTCGCGGCACATACTTGCTGGCTAGTCCTATATTTCACAATGTGCATAGTTTTGAATCAGGTGACGCTTCGAAACACACGACTAGGACGTAGTGATGCGGAATAGTTATGACTTGAAATCGTCACATGCAGTCAATGAAAACCACCCGATAGAGGCCCACCTTGAGAGCCATCTCTAGCATGAAGCACAGAGAGAAGGCGAAGTTGAAGACCTCTAGGTATGTGGAGAACTCCTCATCCATCGGGTGGTGATCCAATGCCAGCACCAACGTGTTGAGTACGATCAAGAGCGTGATCGAATTCTGCCAAAGTGGGGCGAGTGTTCGGGAACGGCGGCGGGAATCAGAGGGCTATCGGGTCGAGGTCACACGTAAATTTCTGTGACTGGTGACCGGAGAAAACTAACCGCTCCTGCGGAGCAGGAGGAGGTTGTTACATTTTTCTCTCTCCGTTCGTTGCCTAGTGTTGGGGTGTCCTTGGTACGCGAGAGGGAAAAGGCGGTCGTACGTGGGGGGTTGTGATTTGGATGGGGACATGAACGATGTTGCCATTTCTTTGACTAAAGGGTATTTTTGGTAGTGGGGGCTTCTTAAGAAGAAGGAAAAAGCCAATGAACGGTCAAAAATGCACCGCGAAAAAGACACGCTGAGCTTAATTTCCCCCAGACGGGGCTTGCAAAAGAGTTGGCGATAACCTGGGGTAAGAAATTTGTCGTATTTTCGTCCGAGGGATAAACAAAACTGAGGAAATGCTGTGGCACATTCCTTTATCCTGTACTACAAGTACATAACACCACCATGTACCGCGCGAGGTAAAGGTTCAGGGATGATATGCGCACCATGTATGTATGTGCCGCTCCCCATATAGTAACTTCTTCCAAGCTCGATAGACAAACAAGTCGAACGCACTGAACTCCCTGTATTGTTACCTCATCGATGGTTCCATCTGCCATGGCCGCGACAGGGTACCCTGCGCCGTTTACAAGATGCTCAGGGTCGCTTGGACATCAAACCCATTATATTCATTCTATTTTGCGTCATTCCGATATCTTGTTGTCCCCTCGATTCCAGAGTCCTCTTTCAACGCACACAGTCGTCTCAGTGATGCACGTGCGGGAAGAACTGGCAAACTCTGTTCCTGGTATAGGTAGGCTGTTAGGCTTGCGCGTACATAGTTGACATATAGACGGGGTGTGTGCCGCCCACAAGGAGGAGTAAGAAAATGCGCATCAGCAACCGAATGCGCAGTACACAGGAAGTATCGTGCGGGACAATGGCAAACTGGGGAAGTCCATGTCGCCTGCGCAGTAAAGGGCGTTCCTATTTCTGCACGGCATCTTCTTTGTTCCCACTTGGTTCTCGTTAAGGGTCGGCAGCCGTGGCAACTTCTCATGGAACTATTTCGTAGCCTACACGAAGATTCACCGGATACTGCTAATACCCGCGCTGTAAAAACATTGGCGGTTACTGCTGTACCATGTCAACGAGAAGCGTGTGCAGTGGCAGCAACCGCTAAGACGTAGACTCCTGGGGCCGTAGTAGGTCGGGGTTTCAATCGATCCAAGGCAAGGCCGGCTGCAACCTCTGAGGAAAGCAACCGCTCTACAAAGCTATTGGAACGTCGGGTATTGGGGGAGATTAGTACAGAAACCACGAGAGACAGCAGCCAGCTGACGCCTCGCCCCTCGGGGCATCTCTCTCCCCCGTATGGGAGCTGCTCTGGCAAGAGACAATATTTTGGGATGCCCGGCCAACCAATCCGTTGCACCACTAACGCAATAGAGGTTATGGGACCCTTCACTTAACTTGAATGTCATCGCGGACAAGTGTCAAGTGCATTTGCTGTAGATGCGCAATCGGTTTGGCGCAGGCAAGTACACATATGAGGGTTACCGGAGTGCTCAGAAAATCGACTCAGTTCCGGGACGCGGTAGCTGAGATTTCCTTCGCAGTCAGTCACCACTTGCCACCTCCCGTAGACAACAGGGAAAGTAGAGCTTGTGGACAAAGACGTGACACGGAAATCCCCGACGACCAATGTAGGGTGTTCGACTCCCCTCGAGCAGCGTGGGATACGTTCCAAAGGATCACTTGCGTCACGGTATCGTGGTGCATGTCCCTTTTCATAACTCTCACTGATGGACTACCTTCCTCCCGTCCCCCCATCCTCGTTTGGAACGGATTGGAAGGGAAAGATTTGCCTGATACCGCACCTGAAACTTGACGTGGTCAACCAACCGCCGCAAAACCAAGCGCCAGGTTGGAAGATCCTGCAGCTCGTCATTGCCAGTAACCCCCCCCCCCTCCTCCTCCTCGTTTTCATCGATAAAACTAGCTCCATTCGTCCCCTCGTCAGCCCACAGTGCCTGCCGATGTCGTTCCTCAGCCTCCTGCACAACACCACGTGCATGTTTCAGTGTGTGGAAGAGAGGGAAAATGAAACAGTGAACGGGGAATAGTCTGCCTAACCTGGGCGCTGCCGGGTGCTACTCCTCGAGATTGAAGCAAGACTACAAACTCGACCAACGTGAGACGTCCAGGCTCTTTTCTTTCAATCGGTTCTAGGTTGCTGTATTCCGGTGCAAATGATAGAGCTTAATCGTACTGGAGGTGTGAGACTCGATTCGGCTCGCATCGAACTCAATCGGCATCTGCTCGCCGCATGCCCGGTTATGCGAAGGAACTTGGGACAGGCCACATTCTGCGGCACTCTCGACTCCTAACCCCAAGCACGCAACAATCACTCTGTTGATGAGACGCGTTTGGTTCAAGGTGTCTACCTCACCACGACAGCAAAGCTCTTGCCGTCGCTCTAGAAAAGTACCGGGAGACACGCTGGAAGCTTTCATCCACTCAAACATTTGGATTTTGCTGCAATAGGTTGCCGACTTGCCACGTACTGTACTGTATGAGTGGTGGAAGCCGGGAAGAGTTTCAAGCGGGTTGATGGGAGAGCAACCTGCTTTGTCTCTCGGGGGCTCTTCCATCACTTCCTCAAGAGAATGGTCTTGCAAGATTCGGTGCTGTTTTGCCGCCTTTGTTGCACATAACACCCTATCACTTTTCCCTCAGGATACAGACTAGGATCAACCATGCACGTTGGTGGAGAATAGCACGCATACATATGTTAATGTGTGGGGGCAGTTAAAGTGAGCCTGCCCTCCACTACCTGCCGCACGTACAGCACCTTCTGGCCTACCGCATCCGGCAAAACAAGTCACGATACTACCGATGTACTTCGTACCACAAGGAACCAACTAATATCGGATCGACCGTGGCTTCGTGTCTACAACTGCAGAGGTCGTCGACAGTGAGCTTGAGGCTCATCACCTTGTCGTCTTCCTTGCCCTTGGTGAAGTTCCCCTCCAGCACAGCCAGGAGTAGATTGAGAGTGAAGAACGACCCCCACAGGATAAGGATGATGAAGAAGACGTCTCCGAGGATAGGAAGGCTACAATCCTTTACCTGGGGCGATGAAAGCATCACAACGGTATGACACGCGGAGATTGTACACAAGGAAGCGGGGTTTGGCTTAAGCGATCAAAGATAACATCACCATGGAGACATGCTCGACGTATTGGCTTATCTACAGGAGCCATGATTCTTGTCCAGGCGGGGGCTTCCGACACACAGGAAGCCGAGACACTTTCGTACTTCATAGACTATCCACGTTTGGAACAAAAACACCCGAATCTTTCAAGTTGCGGAGACCGGTGGTATTCTCCGGCGGTGTACACTGGATCAAGAAAACACGCGACGCACCTGATAAAGTACATCTGACCATCCCTCCATGGTGATGCTCTGAAAGATAGTCAAGAAAGCGACGAAGATGTTGTCGAAATTCGTGTAGCCCCAGTTCAGACTCTGCACGAAGGTGGCGTTGTCCGTCAACCTCCCGGCTCCCCACTCCACCCCCTCGATCACCCCGCCCGCAAAGCGCGGGTTGCCTAGCGCATCGTAGTTGCTCCCGCACCACCTGAACTCGCTCAAGTTCATATATCTATCGTCATGCTCGCACTTGTGCTTGCCCGAACCCGAGTTGGACGTGCAAAGCCGCTCGTTCTCCGAGTCTATCGGCCACCAACACTCGCGAGGCGTGGCCCAGGGACTAGTGCTCTGTGTCCACGAAGGCTCGTCGTCTACCACGTCGAAGTTGCTCACAGAGAGGCAGCGGTAATCCGTGTAGTTCATCCCGACCTGCGGGTACGACAGTCACCACCGTCGCGGTATTGATTTAATGCACGCGCGCAGCACATCGAAGCATGGAAAAGGGGACAGAGAAGAGGAGAACGAACGCGGCGATGAGTCCCTTCGCCAACCAGACGTATTTTCGTTTGTCGTTGCGCTCCTACAGTTCTACATTGCTGATAATCGCATGAAGCTTGTTGAAATATGCACGGCTAACCACAGTTCGCAAGAATCAACAATAGAGTCGTGCACGACGGGGTGGACCCCCCCCTCCCGCGCGCACGTCAACCACTACATGTATTCCAGTTTCCCGGGCAAAACCCTTGCACGGCATTATCTCCTAGAAGCAGAAAATAGAGTCCCGGAAAAAACTCTCCTCTTCCACCCGAGGAGGACCCAACTATTGGGGTTGCCCGAGACCGGACCGAGTCCGATAGAACGGGGTGATGTGGCGCTTAAGCTTGATTTGAAGGGGTGCGCGATTGTGCAAGACTTAAAACGCGAATCCCCTTGTAAGTATACATCTTTTTGCGAGGCTGTGGTGATGTCTTCTTGTGGTTCTCACGAATTGCCCGTGCAGACCAAGTTGTTCCTTTCTGTGCCGGTCTCTACTGTCTTGAAGTCTGGCAACGTACCGCTACTCCAAAAAGGAGAGTCAGTACGAGGTGACAAGCTCGAAGTTGTCTATATCAACGGATATAGTGTTGTGCTCTACCACAGTACCGCCAGCGGGAAACTTGCAAATACGTTCTTTGATATGTATAGACAACTGATGATATCGTTCGTGCCCTCACCTCAAAACTGTTGTTGACTGGGAACGGAGTAAGACGACACCGAGAGTGCTGCTTGCCCGCGAAGATCTGAATCCCAAAGATGCCGAACACCGTGAAGATAAATTGGAGAAGAATCACCACACTCACCAGCTGTGGCACAGACCTAAGCATGCTCACCACCAACTTCTGCAGCCCGGGCAGTGCAGAAATGCTTTTCAGTGGGCGCAGCACCCGAAAAACTCTGATTGCCGTCATTTTCGGCATCCCGGGTATGCTTGTCATAAGCGCCGTGACCACCACCATGAAGTCTAGGATGTTCCAAGAGTCTCGTAGGTATGATCCTCGCCCAAGATAGAACCCTTGCGCGATGACCTTGAGCACGAACTCTAGCGTGAAAAAGGCGGTGAACACTGCCTCCGACTCAAACAGAAGTGCATTTCGCCAAGAGCCGTCATCGATGGGCTCCCCCACATCTGGCGAGTTAGGATCGTCGTCTATCACAGACCAATCCGTCAGCGCCAGCACGAAGGAGTTCAGGACGATGAGGAACAGGATAAAGCGATCGAACCACGGGTGGGCAATGGTCTTGACGCAGGCCACGCGGACAGGGTTCAGCTCGTCGAAGACGTAAAGGGAAGTCTTAGCATACTTAAACGTCTTCCCGCAGGCCTTGAACACGGCTTCCTTGCTGTGGTCATAACCAGGAGTCTCGTTGCCCTTTTCGAACGCCCCGTGATGTTGCGTGGGATATATCATCTGGCTGCACTCCAAAGGCCGAGCGAGCCACGGTGTGGAGAAGAGGAATACACAGCTACGCGCCTCCCTGTCAGGCCTTCCTTCGAGCCATCATTCTTGGGTGCATGCCCGGCTTCCTTGCCCTCTCGCGCTTGTAATCGAGACTGTCCTCGAAATCCTACAGCAGCAAGTATCGCGACCACTTAGGTACACAGGGGTGTCGATGCACAACAACCGCACACCTGTCTTTGCTGTCGTCAAGCATCCAAGACTGACGGTTGGCACAGCCACAACATGCGCGGCACGGCCCTTCTGACCAGTGCCCTGGCTTCCAACCGACCCACAGGACACGCTGCCGCCTTCTGACGACGTGTTGTGTGTGAGATTCAACACTTGGGGCCCAATTAATCATGTACACCGTCGAGCTCCTGGGAAAAACACACGTGACGGTTTCAGAACCTCGACACACACGCCTCCTTGGTTTAGAGAGAGGGGGAGACGGGGATGTGCGCATGTGGGCGATAGCCGGGCTGGGCGCAAGTGTTTTTTCACAGCAGTGACAGGTGAAGGTATATCTAGGGTGTTGTAGTCATGCGTTGGTTGTCAGCGATATTGTTTTCACAACGAACGGCGAGCCAGAACTGTAAGTCTGAAGTAGAAGACTCCATTTATTTTTGACGTCACTTGCTTGTTGTGCGTCCGATGTACTTCAAAAAAATGTGACACGTGTTGCGTTGCTCTTATTGATCTGGAAAGTACGTCCATGGTGTTTCGCAATGTGTTCATGATCGTGTTTCTGGCTGTAGTATAGACTTGTCTAGGCCTGCTGTAGGGGAAATCCGTTCGCACATACGGCGGGATGCATAATACATACTCCGTATTCGGTATTTGTACGTACGTGAACGGGCACAACGTCCATCGGCGCTGGAATCGAAAGCACCAACGGTGCAACAAACTGCTGTTTCTAGAATTAGTTTTACTTCGATGCTCGCACAGATAGGACATACCGCACAATTCCATTCGTTGACGGCCTGCTGTAAGTGTTCAAATCATACAACTGAATCAATCTACCTATGTTATTCTCGTACTACTATTGTGAATTTGTTGTCACGGGGGAATCATTTTGTACGAAATTGTACGCACAAAGAAGTATTGCTGTAGCCTCCACGTCATATCGGATGAGGTTATCAACATCTACATCGAACAATATACACACCAGCAGCAGCGTTGGTTGTCACCAAAAGGAAACGTACAAACATCCTGCTCTCAGCCATGGGGTACACTACGAAATGCATCTATCATCAAAACCGTTCCATTGTTCTTTTGAGTTGAACATACACACGTTCGACTGCTTTTGAATACTATCTCGGTCGCTTGGTGCAGCCGCCCAGAATTCCACTCGGAAAATCACGACGAAGCCTCGCCGAGATGAAAATGATCGTTCGACGTCGGCACCCTCGCCCTCACCGTTGTCTAGAGGTGGGGAAATCATTTATTTCGGTGCGCCTTAACCGCACCTGTACCTACGGTGATAGGTGATACCACACTCAACAAGCGATGCTTGCACGACGGGATCAACATCGCGACCGTCGCTCGTCTCTAGGGCGAGTCTCATCGGACATTCAGTACAACAGCAGTGTGGCTTCATTCGGACGAATCTCGCCTAGCAAGTTGGGCGTTAACCATTACGCACGGGTTGCCCTCACCAAGCCGGCGGGGGCGGCAAAACTTTAGGGCATGACGAGAGGGCGGGGCTACATCTAAGTCTTCATACATGTATATACAGAACCCGATCGATTGGCGCCGGCCAGAAATTTTGTCATGCATACAAGAGAGTGCTCCACACAAAGATTACAACAGATTACAACGTAAACAGCGTCAGCCGCCGCCTACGGTGGAGACGACAGGCACCGACGAATTGCCGTGAATCACTGATTCTACGCCTCCTTGCCATCTACTCGGCCAGATGGCAGCCCCTTCAACATGGAATCGATAACAGCGAACTGGCGCGGCCAACGCGTCGGGTACAAGAACGGTCGCAGGTCGAAACGGTTGTCGTCTGGAGAGTACTCCTCGGCGTGGTACGAAGGCGTCAGCGTGGTCATCTTGTGCCGATTCACGGAGTAAAAAAAGAAGAAACGCTTCACTTTCGAGGCGATCTCCTGGGGAGAGAGATGCCTCCACGCCGACAGCAGGTTCTGAAACATGGATACCGGGCCGCAGCGAGCCACCTTCCTCAAGCGGCCGAAGTGCGACAGCTCCTCGTACGTCATCCCCATGTCCTCCTCGTCCACTTGGCTGTGTTCGTCCGCCTCGCCCGCCCCCTCCGCCAGCGGCCGCAGCTCGGCCGTTGGCGGCGCAGCCGCAATGTCGGCCAACGCGGTGTAACCTCGCTCCCGCGCCGCCCATTCCAACAGCTTCTTCAGGTCCACCTTCGAGATGCCGCCGATGGGGTTCAGGTCCGCGCTGCTGCAGTCGTACTTCGTCATGTAGCCCCTCAGCGCTTCGTCAACGTTAGCGCTACCGAGCACGAGCAAAAACCCTTGCCGTCCACGAACCCAAGGCAGAAGCTGCGCTAGAAGGTAGGCCATCACCATGCGTAGACGAGCTTGAATGTTCTGCAGCGCCAGGTCTTCGGCGGACGTCCCTCCCCTCGACAAGAACCGCGGTGTCTTCCCCGTCAACGTGCGGAAGACTCCCACAAGGGCAGCCACCGCGGTGTCGATGACGATGTTGCTATGGTATGCGCCTATCTGGTCCGCCAGAGTCGACGCGCGCGCCCGCGTAGCGTTGGAGCTGTTCTCCGTGCCCATGAAGCACGTGTGCAGCACACAGTTGGCAAGGTCGCGGGGGCTGCTCGGCACCTTCTCTCCTTCCTTAAGCCCCATCAGGCGCCGCACTTCCTTGGACACAGAGCCCACTCCGGCTGCGCCCTCCTTTGATTTCCTCTCGGCATCGTCGTCTATACCGCTAAGCTCCGCGTTCTCTGCTGCTGCCGTTTCGACTGCCAGCCCGCACATAACCCCGACGATCGCCGCGACGCTGGACGAATCAGCCCCGCCGGAGAGAGGGAGGAAGAAGCCTGCGCTGCCGGACCTTCGCAGGTAGTCCCACAGCCAGCAGGCGGGCCCAAGGGCACACTCCTCCTGCGGGCTATGAATCTTCAACGCTTGGGGCAGTGTGGGAGGGTGGGTCACGTAGTTGGCACCGGGGGTACCGAGACAGAACGAGGGCGCCTCCACAGTGGGTAGTCGCCGTGCACCCGACGCCTGCTCCATTCGAGAACTCACCGAAGCCCGGTAAGACCTTACGTCCTCGAGGTTGACAGTCGCCGTGATAACCTCCACGTCGGCGAGGGAAAACTGAGCCGCCTGGGCGACCACGTCGCCGTTGACCACGATGAGAGCGCACCCGTCGTAGTACAACCTACCCCCGTCACAGCCACGCTGGTTAGAGTAGACGTACACACCTCCACACTTTGCAGTCGCCGAAATCATGTAGTTCAGCCGAGTGTCTAGTTTGCGGAGCTGGTGGTGCGAGCCCGACCCGTTTCCTATAATATCTACACCGGCCAATGCCTGACCTATGTGAGGGCTGTCTGGTGTCCATAGCTCTTCGCAAGTCTCGCCCGCGACGAGAGCGTCCAGGGCCGACACCGCGGTCTGACCGAAGGGTACCTTGTCCTGCCCGGTCACCTCCGCGAGGCCGCGGCACAGGGTGTGGTCTTCCGTCTCGTTCCTCCGTTTCCAGGTCGTAAACCAGCGGGTCTCGCGGTAATTTCCGTCATCCGCGAGGTGAAGCTTGGGACGAATCGCAAGAATCTTGCGGTTGAGGCAGAACACGCGGCAGTTGTACCGTACGCCTAGGTGTTGGACCGGCATCCCGATGTCGCAGAGGATGCCATCTGTCGCGTCGCACTGCGGGGAGGGGAGGGGGGGGGGGACGAAAGTCATTTCGGGGTTGATAGTGTGGATGGGTTGAAGAGCACAATAAAGAACATCAGGCAGCCTTTGACCTTTTACGTTCGAAAGACCGACGGTTAACAATCAAACGATCTCTCTACCATGCTACGTCCACAGTACTTCAAGTCGGAGTACATGTGCGCTTGGTGGTGCGTGTGCACAATCTGTCTCACCCTTCACTCTTTAGCTTCCAGGGCACCCTGGATCCACACGGAAACTAGCAGCCTCGATGCCGAGGAGACAAAACCACCAGATGCTGTGACAATCTTCATGGACGGAGTCAACATTTGCTATCGCCCTACAGCAGTACCTCCTCAACAGCTCAACAGAGTGGGATGCGTACACGGGTACGTACTGGTAGGCTGATTTGTCGTAAAACCATGGAAGAGCTACAGCAGAGTTTCGGAAGTCAGGATACTCGACATACACACCGGTTTCACGAAGTGCAGCAACAGACCCGAATACCGCTTGTGATCGGAACATGAAGACATGCCACCTGTAGTCATGTACAACGTACAACATGCAGCAGCAGCATCCTAAACATGGCAATAACACCGCTACCCATCAACTCATGTACTGCTCACCGACAGAAGAGCAGCCAGGCTCTGGTCGCAGTGAAGGAAAGTGTCGTGCTCCAAAAAGTGGTCTTCGCACCCATACCCGCATAGCTCCAGCTCTGGCCCGAGCCGGTACCTCGCGCCCATCGCCTTCGCTTCTTGGATCGAGCGAAGCACTCTTTCGAGGTTGCCATCGAAATCTAGAGCCCATTGATCCAGGTTGCAAGCTGCAACGGTAACCAGGGGTGTTCTCTCCACCGCAGCTGTCTCCATCGCCCTAAAAGCCAGTGCTGTGAGGAGTACTAGCACTGCACGCGCCTCGATCACGTCAACGCACGTGTGAGTGTCGGGGTTGAACCCCGACCTGCCGGCTGATGTGAGACAAATCGAGGGGGGGGGTTGAACTAGCGGAGCCCCCAGATCGGAGTGTCTCCCACATCGGAGTGACCTCACTTGACTTTCCCATCTTCCATCACATCGCATCCGCCATCCTGATCTTCCCGAGCCTTCGCCTCTCCAAAGACAGAGAGCAACAGTCGGATCTCCACTGTGGAATCTACTCAAACCGAAAGGTCGTCATAGGAGTAGCAGCATTGCTGGTGAATCTCATCAGCACACATCAGCACCTGAGAAGCACGGACACGGTGGATAGTAACCAAATTCGGGCCACAAGGCAGGCATGAAGCTTCGTCACCTGGTTTGGGCGGCCGCTCTGCTGGCCCAATCTCTGCTCTCGGAGGGAAAAGGGAAAGACTACTACGGAGCCCTAGGGCTAAAGAAGAATGCCAAGGAATCTGCTATCAAGAAGGCTTACAGGTGTGTGTTGAGTGGGGAGTGCATCGGGTTCTTGTACGTACAAGTACGTAGCTGCACCTTCGCGTATTTCGATGCTCCCAACACAAACACAGAACAGGTCGGTGCGATCAAACAGCGGTAGGGTGTGTGAAGCTTCAGCGTGTTAGCAGCAGTAGGACAAACGTTTCCCCCGGAGTATCAGCGACTACATGTAAGACCGATCAGGCCTGATCCGGGGGTGGTTCAAAGCTGTGGGTGATCGTTTTGTGTTGAAGAGAAAGGAGGGGTCCACGTGTACCAGAGACGGGCGCTGATTGGTCGACCAGTTGGTGTTCGGGATTTTCCTTTTTTTTTGTGTGTTGAATGAAAGGTTGAAGGCCTTGTTTCTGGGTTGAACAAACTCGCACATGACGTATCGTTCGTGGGCAGCCCTTTTCCTTCCTCCGTTTAGAGTATTGGTTACCGCATGCCTATTATAGGTAGTACCTGAACCTTACGCTGACGAGCGGATAATTTTCTGAGACACAGCTTATTCCAGCTTTTTTTCCGACAGTCCCGCGGATGATTTATCTCTCTCTCTTCTCTGCCTCTCTCTCTCTCCCCCTCTCTCTCTCTGTGTGTTTTTACCCTCAACCCCTCAAGCACTCGCGGCGCCATTGAACCTTAACAGATATAGGGAACTCAGCCCGCTCTTTCTTTTCTCCGACTGGTACACGCCGTGCACCTACATACTCAACCCATGTTGGATGTTTGTTGTCGATTGACTTTGAAACCGCAAGAGCACCAGAAAATGCACACGAGACCAGTCGGAAGGCATCGGGACAAACAGATATCGTTGATTCTCGCACTGGGCGGTGGTAGAGGCTGCTCAAAACATACATGCAATGAGTCTAACTCAACACGCCCCCTTTGAACAAGATAAAAATTCACACAAATTCAAGTAAAGGGAGTTTAGCATTCTAACTGCACCTTAGTACTGATATCACTAGAGGAGACCCTATAGCAGTGGGGAGGGTGTGTTGGCGCGCTCAAATCTGCACTCTGTTATTTATAGCTTTCGCCTCTCTCCATCTCCAGCGAGCGCATGCCCCCCCCCCCCCCAAACCATTCAATTCCCTCCTGCTCACCGACTTGTGTGCACTCCTGTAATCGTGTTTTGCGGTCTGAACACGGATCAACAGGAAACTAGCTCTCAAGTACCACCCTGACAAGAACCAAGACAGGCAGGAGTGGGCTACCAAAAAGTTCGCCGACGTTGCCGAGGCTTACGAAGTCCTGTCGGACGCCGAGAAACGGAGTATCTACGACCAATTTGGCGAGGAAGGTCTCAAGCATGGCGCCGGTGGCGGCGACGGAGGAGCGGGAGGCTTCCCCGGTGGTGGTGGCGGTGGCTTCCACGGATTCGGCGGGTTTCCTGGCCAAGGAGGCGGTGGCGGAGGACAGAGGTTCCATTTCGAGGCTGGAGACGCGCACAGAACGTTTGAGCAATTCTTCGCAACCGGGACCCCCGGAGGTGCGTTGATACGAAGCCGACCTTACCTCTGGGTTGTTAGGCACTTGGAGAGTTTTGTCCGACGATTGGGAGATTTTTTCCGGTGGATCAGCACCGTCCTTGAATTCACCCTCGAGCAAGCGGAGGGGAGGAGGCGGGAGGGTATGGGCCAGGGCGGGAGTCGCAACGGCCACCGAGGTGTGTTCGTCAGCCTTGGTCATCATCTATGATGTGCTTCCCTGGTTGAGACCCGCACAAGCCTCCCTCCTCTCCCTTCGCCGTTTCGGTGGGAAGTCGACAGCCTGCATTTTATAGCTACACGTTTGTAGGTTGTGTGGCGATTGACAGCAGCCCCAGTTCGTTTCATCATAGACCAAGACACCAGCATCATCATGATCACACGCGATTTGCCACATATTTTGCCCGTCCTCCACGCGCCTTATACCTGACGCGTATTCCTTACACACCACAGGCGGTGGGGGCGGCAACATATTCGACGAGTTTTTTGGCGGCGGTGGTGGTGGATTTGGCGGAGGAGGATTTGGCGGGGGTGGGGGGGGCGGCAGAAGAGGCGCGAAGCCCCCGCAGGACCTCTACCCGAAGGGCTCCAAAGTCGGCAAGCTTTCCGAGAACAAGTTCCCCAAAGCGGGCTCCGCGCACGTCTGGCTGGTGAGTTTTATTTTGTGTGTTGTAGGCACGAGGTTTTCGTCGCAAAACCCGGTCGCCTCGCGCTCTAGTCGTTGATGCGTTGATCCCGTCGGTTCGTTGTGACTCTCGATGCCTTGCTTGTTGATTTGCAGGTCCACTTCTACTCTCCCCAGAGCCGCGAGTGCAGCCAGCTTGCCCCCACAATGGAAAAGCTAGCAGAGGTGCTTCACGGCGTGGCGAAGGTCGGAGCGATGGACTGCACAGGGAAGGTGGAGAGCTTCTGCGTCCAGCAAGGGGTTCGAGAGTTCCCCGGCTTAATGCTCGTCGTCGCCGGCGAGAACACGAATTTCGAAGGAGTCGCAGGTAAGTTCCATGTGGTGTCCATCTTCTTTAGCCATGGTTGCGTTGGTCAAGCGTTGTGTAGTCGGGCGGTCGTGTTGGTCCTTGCCCTTGTGTGGAGTTCACTTTTCGAGGGAGACTCGGTCCTGGACCCATGAACGTGGTGTAACAGACATATTCACTTGGTGGGCTGCGGGCTTTCGGGGTTACACGCTCAAAACAGCAGTCGAGTCGTTTTTTTCGACAGTTAAGAGGACGAGGGCGTTCTGTCAGTGAAAGCAAGCGACAATGCTGCTGCTGCAGACTTTTTTTTGTGTGTGTGTGATTTTTCCGTTTTCTCGCTCTTGCTTGTGCTTGCTTTACGCCCCTTCCTCTATCCCCCCGTCGTGGCACCCCTCCTGGCCTTGCCCCCTGTCCGCAGACCTGAAGCAGTTGCACGAATTTGTTCTTGAGGGCTTGCCATCAGAGCACGTGGCGAATCTTCGTCGAAGAGACCAGGCCGACTCCTTCCTGCAGTCAGAGTGCCAGGAGGGTTCAGAGTGGGGCTCTTGCGGCATTCTTTTCACGAACAAGTTCGAGACTTCGTCGGCTCTCAAGGCCCTCGCGTTCCGTTACCGTGGAAGGGTGAGTTGAGACTGACTGACTCATCACGGAAGTGGTCGTATTTACCTATTGGTATGGCAACCCCACAAGCGACACAGACGGAATGGAATGCCGTTATGTTCTACCTCGCAATGCGTGTGACGACTTATCCGGTACCTACGGAGAAGCTGGCCTGTAGCTGAGGTTGGACATGCGAGCAGTTCTGACGTAGTGCGGTTATCCGCGTCGCAAGACCTTTGTCTTCAACGCGGTTGTACATACCTTGCAGGAATTGAATCAGCTCCCTCGTTTTGAGGTTTCCTCCTCCTGCGCAGGAGTGCCCTGAAAGTTTCGTCTCTTGCAGTGCACCGCTTACTTGCACTGGTGACAAAAGGCTAGTCGTCTTACGTAGGCCTACCTCCCGACGCCACCCGCCAGGTCGCGTTCGGAGAAGTTCGCGGAAAGAACGACGCACTGGCGAATAGCTTCCACATCTCTTCGTACCCAAGCCTCGTCTTCTTCTGCGGCGGGGATGCCGGCGTTTCGTTCCCGTACGAGGTGAGCGGGGGGGGGGGAGGGGGGGGTTGCCTGCGGAATTGCTCGAGAAGAATGATTGCTGCGCACGATGTTGCTCTCGCCGTGTCCCATTCGCGGTGGCTGGTTTTTTCGCCTTGGTTGCCTTGTGTGCGATTGTTGTAGCGTTTCGGTCCTTCTCAGTATCAACCACAGCAGTGGCTCTCTTTAAAGGGTAAAGACCTTTTTTTTTCTCGCGCGACTTGCTGGGTTCGGCTTGTGGAGAAGTGTCATGCGCCTCTCTGTTTTTTCTGGCTGGGATCCCACGGGATCCGCCCACTTTCCCTTTTCCCGTTCATTTGGCCAACATTGTCATCGGCGGCTGTACATCTATATCTGTTGGACGTGACCGGCAGGGAGAGCTCAAGGCCGAGCCCCTCGATGCCTTCGTGAAAGGATTGAGAGACGGCAAGAAGTGCAAGGATGCCATTAAAACGAATGCAGAAGCCCGCGAAAGAGGTGAAGAGGGTGTTCAGCTGCGTGTGCTCCGCCGTTTGCTAACTTGTGGCCCCCTTAACGTTGACCATTGCACCACGAACAAGTATTACATCTGTTGTGTAGTCTGCGAGTTCATGGCAATTGTATTCCCTCAAAATAGATGTCTTCCAGTATGGTGTAAGTTCTGGCGATATGCGCATGCATATGAAATCCCATCCACGTTTTTCCCCAGGGTATTTCTTGGCCGAGCCTGGTAACGTCTTGCCGCCGCCGCAGTCTTGCCTCCTGCCCCACCTGGACCCCTGATTATATCTTTACCTCTACCCTGCAAAGTCTGATCCCCCCTTGCCGTCTTTGCCCATCGCCCTTGCCCTTCCTCGTCACATTGCGACAGCTGCGGCGTTACGACCGGACGATGACTTCTCAAAGCTCCGCGTGAAGCAATTGCGTGAGCTTCTCTTGGCGCACGGCGATCCCTGCGACGGCTGCGTAGAGAAGCGTGATTTCGAGCAGAAACTTCGGGAAGCTGTCGTGGCCGCGCATCGAGCTCGATGAAGCACGCGAGTCCGCATTGGTATTAGCGCCTAGGTATACTAGTTTTGACAGGTAGTTCGGTGGAGATATGGGTGTGGAAGAGTCCTGCTGGATGTTTTTATCCCTCACCGGGGATGATGGTGTGTTGTTCGTGTCAGATGGCTTCAATGTATTCGTTTTGTGAGCAAGAGAGGTTCGTTGCGTGACCGTTCGACCAGGCCGGACCGATCCCTGTGATGCAATAGACCCACGAAAGTTGTACAAAATAGTCCTTGATGAGAAAGGCTTGACTCTGTTCTATATTTTTGTGACAAGCCGTGAGCTTGATTTGGCCCAAAGAATGTCCCGCAACTTGAGTTGTACCCTGTACTTGGGGAGACTGCACTAGACCCAGAGAGAGCGGTGAAAGAGGACTGCCGGGTTTCGGTCTTGACCGGGTATTTGCTTGCTTTGCGACGCACCGCTCGTGCGATAACAGCGATAGCTTGGTGCCCGCAGTGGCCGAAAAAATTTAGGCTAGTAGCGTCATAGGACTCAGAACAGGTTTTTGGCGTCTTACTACCGTTTTCGATTACTGAAATGTATTATTAGTACCATTGTTGACTGCGGACCGGACGGGCGACGTAAAAGTTGAGCGTTCCTTTCATGGCTTGTCGACGAGGAAGGGAATCATTCATCCTTCGTCAGTTGGCCACACCAACTTTAGAACGAATGCTCGTGTCGCGCAACAGGCATTACATTGCCGATCGGGCAACACTGGGCAAAGAAAAAGCACGTCGGTGAACTTTGACAGTAGTAATCTAGTTCGAAGTAGTTTGTTTTTTCCCACCGACGGCATCTGATAATATCTCTCTTGCTTGGCGGTGGTACACAAGCGTATCTAAAACGTGGCTGACCTGTCCATGACGTGAACAACGATCGAGAACGGTCAGTCCCTGCCGCACCCACCTCACACGAATTACACAGAAAACACGGGGTTCAATTATTTTTCACACAAACAAGGTCCCGACCCGAATATTTGGTGGTCGATACACTGATTGGCCTCCACAGGTAGGATCTACAAAGCCATGGATCGTGTTGAAAAGGGCACGCACCCATGAAGACACCAAATTATCTGATCATACACCGAGTACACAAAGCGAGGAAGAAACTAGGGGGGTGAGGCAGCCACACGCACGGACTTGCAAAACAACGAACATCAAACAGTCTTGCATCACCTTGTGTGACCCGTCGTCCTGTCTCATTATATCGTCTTCCGTACAAGACCGCAACCGAGCCGCACACCAAACAATAAGCCACACGGCTCGTTTCTTCGATCAACCGTGATGGGCAAGCAAAGAATATCAAACAACCGCTAGAACTGAGCTGCATCTATAGTTTCTACAAGACACCCAACGCCCAACAGAAGCAACATCATTGCATTCAGCAAGTTTGTCCCTGCCATGTTCTCTATAACGCGGTGTGTGTGGCACACGATACACAACACCGCCGACCCACGACATGGCAGCGAAACCCCACCCACAAGCAAACAGTTGTTACAACGCATAAGGCTACAGCAGTCAGCCACTGGGCGAACGGACGCTAGACAGCACGTGCTTCCAGTTCTTCTTGGACGTTTTGCCCTGTGTATTGCCCTCGGCGACGCAATCGACTGTGCGGACGACCGCTTTCTTCAGCCTTAGTGCGGGGTGGCTGCGGTTGTAGGGCACGTAGAGGAGGGCACAGCACGGCACACGTCACAAATGAACGAACAGGGGACGCGCGCATTGTGTTGCAACCTATGTAGAGTCAATCTGGTGTCTCGAGCGTGCAGTGTACTTCCAAGTACCTGACATGCACCTTGGCACTCAAGCTCAACGGTGCAAGTCAAGGTCTTTACCTGCGTAGAGCACCCCTCGTCATGTCAGACAGGCGCCCTGCTTTCTCATTACTCCAACAAAGGGTCTTCAAAATCTGTTGTCTGTCACGTCCTACCCGACAATCGTATCGAATGAATGCTATGTTTTCTAACGGACTTGCCGGCTGGCGTGCTTTGTCTGTTGTGACGTGCACGGCCCCCAAACGAATCGTTCTCGCTCTTGCCGCTCCGAGGACGGCGAATACGCTTGCGACTTTGAGATGCTGCGGGAGAGCCGTCGATGGCATGGCAACACAATTTTACCAGCTGGCGCAACGCATCTTTCCACTCATCAACCTTGATCGGCCAAACGATATCCTTTTCATCGCCTACCTGCACAGAAGCGGCGAAATGGCCAGGACGCGGTAATGGCAAGTGCGGTCCTCCGTGACCTCTCTGACTTCTTGCACACTGCCGCACTTGAGGTGCACCGTGGTCGACCGAAGAACTCCTGTGAGGTCGCACTCGGTGCCTCCGGTAAACTGAATCCGAGTATTACGGCGGAAGGAAGTTACAAAAAGAGCCATGAAGATAACGAAAACGGGCTCGCTCAAGTACAGCTACACAAAGTGGTGTTTCCATGCCAATGGTTGGACTTGAAAAGAATACCATCAAAGGAAGGTGGAGAGAAACAACCAATTGTGTGGCAATCCTCCTGCGTGAGTGTAGCTGGTGCGTCGAAACACACGAACGGTGTAAAACTGACGCAAAAAAATACATAATGATGACGTAGCACGCGTGGTTGTATTCGATTCACAGTCGATCACCTCTAGAATGATGGTCCCTCCCTCTCCTTCTTCTTCTTGTTGTGGACGGATGAGCTCTTCGCCCTCGCCGGTGACCGTCGATTTGTCCCACTTACCTAGAGAAAATTCAGTCTAGAAGAAGCAAAACAAGACGCAAGCGGAGGTCCTGTGAGGGACTGACTAGAGGGGGAACGTGTGGACAGTTCCTAGCATCATGGAACTTGCTGAAGACGCAAGGCATTAAACAAGCCTCATCTGTAACGTAGTGCGTCAAGAGGGTAGAGTGAAACACGAAACTTGGTGTAGCCAAAGGCGATAGCGTGGTACGTTGCATGGGTCATCCGACATCAGCACCCTGGACACATAAGAAGCCCCCTAGACCAAAGATATCGACATATCTTGTGGGCTTGGCGGCATTCATGCATTCGTTTCCTGTTACCTGCAGCAAGCAATACGTATTGCATCATCCCTATACTCTCGGAGGCCCTCGTGTGCATTGCGGCACATTCACTCGATGCACGGCGCCGCCACTCACATCCAGTTTCTACACCCTTTTCGAAAACGGCAACTGCCGCAACTGGCATACGGCGGGAATAACATCCAGGCGCCAAAAACAAGTGCAAGCTTGGCTCTTGTATTCTAGGGGTCTACATCAGAAGCCGCTGACAATGAGCCGGCCGGGGGGGCGCGGCATCCGCCATCTCAGCGGTCTCCAGGATTCAAAAATAGCGCCAAACACAGAAGAGCTTGCAACCATTGTGGTGGCGGAAATATCCTATTTAGCTACGTGTCCCCGCGCGTCGCAAGGGCCAAACCCAACTGTTTCCCGTGCGACTCTTGTATCGTACCACACTCCCACGGAGACAAAACTCGTCAGACGCAGTCAGTCTGCCAGGGTGAACAAACGTGCGGGCGTCCGTTGAATGACCGACCCAAGCCCGTACGAAATCCACTGACACACCAGTGATGCGTCCGAGACCCACCGTGATTTTGGACATGAGGCTCCCGTCCGCCTTCCGCAGCAAGTCCTCGTGGTACTGACTAAACCCCGTCGTGGAGATGCACAGCTTGTAAGCCCACCACGTTTCCTTCCTACTTGCAAGGATTCGGGAGGGACAGACATATGTTGTATTGGGGATCACAGGGTGAGTGTTGTAACGGTCATCACGGGAAGCGTGAGTAATGGCATACCACGACTGGACTAGATACAGGGCGCGCGATCGACAGCCTCAACAGCACCATACGTGTGACGCCCCTTATATAACGCCGAGCATAACCATCCGCATCGACCAGTAGTGAGCGTATTCTTGGCGAACAAGTCTTCTTTAAGGGGAAACACACACACACACACACACACACACACATGCGCAAAAGGTCAGAGCAAGTCAACTGCTCGGATACTGACTCACACCTTTTAGACGCCGTGCAAGCATCATCAAACTTCCGTAACTTGGAGCGCATTCTCCAGGGCCGATATTATTGAAACAGACTCACACGCTACCGTTCACTTGACGACACACGACACATCTCGGCAGATACGCAAGCTGCAGCTTCGCGCGAGTGTTTTTACGTCCGCCAATCGACCATTTTTCACTGCTGCGCAGCAGAATCACAGTACGGGTGAATCCATCCACAAACTGCATCAAACATATCCATCGTCATCGTCACCATCACCATCACCATCACCATCACCATTCTCACTTCGGGGGGAAGCAAGCCTCTAACTCTTGCAGAAGACCCAAAACACCGCCGACCTTGCCCGTCACCACCACCCCGCTTGAGACCACTGCTTCTTGCCCCAGGCCGAGGGTCAGCCCATCCGTTGCCGCTGGACACAGGAGTCGGGAACATACCTGGACCAGATAGGAACAGATCGAAACCTCCTGTGGAGAGAGGGGCCGGGAGAAAGGGGGGAAAGGAGGGGCGCTGGATCACATGCCATAAAGGACGTGAGTGATTCGTGGAATGATGACGCCGGTCGTCTCCGAGGTCTCCCAGCCGCCAGGACAATCAGATCGAACCCGGTGTCGACAATTTTTGTCTATTGTGGCGATAAAGGGCAGGAGCAGAGGGCGCCTCGATAATGCACGTTAAGTTAAGATCTGTGCTAGCTTACACGAAGGGAGTGCCGCACCAGACGTACGACAAAAGCGACGTAGGAAGAGGAAAGAGGACCTCCATTGTACGGCCTCGACTCGAACCCTAGCCTAGATGATAGGAGTATAGACCACGCTTAGGGAGAAGAAACACATATTTGAGGCGACCCTGTTGCAAGAAGAGACTCAACCGACACATACTGCCAAGAGCAGCCGGCCGACCAGGTGCTGACTACAGTAGCCTGTTGCGCGGGGCGAACAAAACAGTTCTCAGAATCTAGCATCACAGGACGGTACCGTCAAGACAGCAAAGACGGAATTCAAAACAGATGCTGCCCAGGTCAAAACTTCACAAAACCAACGACTGGCGTCCGGGAGTCTTTTCCCACCTGTAACGAAACTAGAATCGCCAAGGGGTCCGCAGATTCACCTCCAGCCGAGACGTCATTCGCCGTGCAACAAGTGATCGTCGTTTTTAGGAATCGGCGCGCTCCAGTTTCTTCGCAGACATCACCTCCCTGTGACGTCAGGCCACGACAACATCACGAGACATCGGGAACTAGACGCCGAATATTGAGCAGTCGAAAAATTGAAGTTGTTAATGGACAACTGGTGGTCCGTTCATCTGGACCATCACACATAGTGTTGGAAGAACTAGAATACCGCGGGACGCGCGCCAGCAACAAAACAAACGAACGAGGGTTCAGCTTGAACCCTCGAACGCACTGTATTGCCGGCTTCTTTTTCGGAGCAAGACGACCACCTCACACACCGAGCACCGACGAGATGATCTCCCAACTGCTGTTTGTTTATAGATTGAATGCATCTTTGACGACGATTCTTCACTTCAACACCGTGGCCCACTCCTGTTCTCTTTGCAAGCATCCCTTGCGTGCGAAGTGCGAAGCCCCTCCGTTACTCGGAAAACACTTGCAGGGGCCAACTCCACGTCGCAAGCAAAACACGCACATGCAGAGATTTGAGGAGCATACCTCATAGTAATCGTATACGGCGGCCAGCTCCGAAACGTCGTTTATTCCCTGGAAGAGGTCATCGTTCTGTGACTCGTGCCGGCCACCATCGTTTCCACCCTTGGACTTATTATTATTCAAAGCTCGAGACACTAAGGACGCCGAGATGTGGTTGTTGTTGTGATTAAGGAAAGACAGACAGGCCAAGGGTCGGGTCAACAACGGGGAGGTAAAAAGCACATAAGTGATATTTTGCAAATGCCACAGTAAAAAATGCTGAAAGCCAAGCGGCAGATTCAGAGTCTTCGCCTTGGCAGTTCGTGTGGCGTATGACAATTTTTGAGCAGGGTGGGATGCCTAGGCCGAGATCAGCAAGTATGGCAAAGTCCGGGTGGGGCCGGCCGTTATTTGCCTGATACAGCGATAGTGGTGATGTACAGCAGCACGTCGAAAAAGGACGGCGGGTTTCAATTGGCGAGCAAACGCGACTCAAGACTCAAAGGAGACGCGGAGGCGTGGTCAAACACGACTGACCTTCGGCCTCATGAGGAGAATCAGAAGAATCGGCAGAAGCGCCGTCCGCCTTGGTCGGGGTGACGTTGACCCTCTTCAACTCCGTCCTCGTGTGCGTTCCGAGATTGACTACGGTGGTTGTTGCACCGTCTTCGCTCTTGTGGAACTGGGCGCGATAAAGGGCATAGAGGGGAAGGCCACGTGTAGACAGAGAGTGAGGTATTCCTGGCTGCTGTATGTTTTCTGTACGAGAGACGTACGTTGTGACGGCAACCTACAATTGGGTCAACCAACGGCCTTACATCTCTGAGGCTAGGAAACTAACACGAGGGCTCCTCAGAGACCAAACAACCCCCCTCAATTCGACGAGGGTTCCACAGTTGTCCAATCGAGGAGGTTTGTTTGTTCTCTGAGGAACCTTCGTGCTAGTTTCCTAAACTCAGAGATGTAAGACCGTTGGTTGAACCACCACACAATTCTTCATTATTCAGGACTGACCTCAACGAGGCATCCATATGTTATCGCCGAAGTCACGCCGCGTTCCTCTCTTCTACACGTTACACGTGAACCGACACATCTCAGGATCTAGCGACGTCGTAAACTGCCGCAATAGTTCTGTGTCCTACTATATTCCACAGGAGGCAAGGTTTACGCGGGCTTGTTGGAGCGGCATAACTTCACACACCATAATAGCAACCGTGCCTTCCTTCCCTAGCACCACCCGATCGTATCCACCAGTGCTTGGGGTAAACTTACTCATCACACTTCGAGCCCAGGATACAACAGTGGTTGTTGTGGTCATCCTGCCCTCCCGCTACTGCAGTGCTGGTGCCACATCACTACTGACATCGAGGGTACCTCCACAGCCACGACTACAATACCCCAATCGTATAGACTACCGCGCCCATGGTACATTTACCTGGGTGACATCCTTCCTATGACACCATTTATAGCTCCAATAACCGTGCGATAACGTGGCGCAACTACCCTCTAGGGGGTCGAGCGCGGTGGAAACGTCTGACTTCTTTCCTGGCGATTCTGCTTGCTCCATTCTCTCGCGGACCTGCAAGATACGGTGATTGAGGGCGGGAAAAGACCCACAAAACAAACGCAGCGGACGACGGATGAAGCGCAACGGAGCAGCTATTCGCAGATGCAGTGCTTGCAGACGGGGCGGTAAAAGGGGGACTTGGGGGAACCCTTTGTGTACAGAAAAATATCAGCGTAGATACCCGTAGAAGAAAAAGTAGTGCGGCATGGTGTAGTCTAGAGCAACGCATCCCGTGCTCGTATATGGAGATAAGAGAGACAGCAGGTAAAACGCCCCCGCTTTGGAAAACCTAAAGTGCCGGACTACTCTGTTGCACCTGTTGCAATCAAGGTGCTGCTGCCGAGCGCGCAGCCAATTGTATAACCTCGGTGCTAAGAACATTACGCTAAAGAAAGTTAACCGTAAGACCAGGGTGCTCAGCTAAGAATTCCACAACAAAAAGCTATACATTCGCTGTTGGGTTACCCCACAGAGGGGGATAAGAAACCAGCCTCAGCCCCGGGCAAAGTAAGAGGTTCTTCAGCTGTGGCGTCTCCTGAACACTAACTTTTCACACGGGTTACCCCACAGAGGGGGATAAGAAACCAGCCTCAGCCCCGGGCAAAGTAAGAGGTTCTTCAGCTGTGGCGTCTCCTGAACACTAACTTTTCACACGCGTAACTCGTCTCTGCCGTCAGAACAGACTCTCACCGTGCAGGTGTGCAAGACGCCATCGACGTCCGTGAAGGTGTACGACGGAAACACAGCCGATTCGCCCCTTGACGCCTCACTACTCGATCGTTTATCATCGCCATCCCCGGTGCCCGACGCCAGGGTGGCCTGGGCAAGGGCTGCTTCCATGAAGTTGATGCTCTGATGCCAACAAAACATGAAATAGTTCAGACAAAACGGCGCCCATATTCAAAAACCGCAGAGAGGACACAGGGCTGCGTCCCAATTGGCTGGCAAATGTTGCGACTTTGCGCCGCTGTTATCGCCCAGAGTCTGTTCCCTTTCGGCATCTGTTTAGTGCGGAGTTTGTGTTGACGAGTTGGTGGATGAACCGCTCACTCACATGCTTCTCTTGTGCGGAACCCCATACACACAAGCCAAGAGGAACAGCGAACCTTGGTGGCGGTGAAATCACGCCGCATATTGACATGGTCCACAGACAAGAGGTTCGACTACACGCACTGTTGCGCATGATTCCTCACCATATCAGCCCTCATGCTCTCCATCACCTCCACACTGCGGTCCTGCACGAGGTCGAGCCCAACCATGGGTCTTGTCTCGTAAGCGAGACCTGTTGGCACGGCGAGAAGTGAAATCACCGACATCACACCCACAATCCCAAAGGAGGGCTGAACCGGCATGCTTCGCTGAAGCATGGATAGGCAGGGTCTCCGGCCTACCCGGTGTGGCACAACCCTTGAAGTCCTCTCCTCTCAGCAGCGCAGCAAGTATGGTAGACAGCAGTGCTGTAAGACTTCACACACAGGCGAAAACAAACGAAGATAATTGCGCCGCATTTTTCAAACCGTTTTTTTTTTTTTGCGTCGCTGCGTTGCCGACCTTTCGAGAGGATCCGGGTGTACACTGCAGCAGGCGACACGTCTGATGTAGGTGGACATGTCGAATGTTCAATGGGGATGCAAGATTTCAGTATTGCTGCATCTCCAACGTGCTTCACGAGGGCGGATAGGCTTCTAGTAGGGCCGAAAGCGATGTCGGACACATCACAACGTGCAGATTTCGTCGATGACCGCCAATCGCCAGCCGTACCTCGTCCATCGATTCTGGGAGGTCACACGCCAGAGAGCACCACACAGAAGGATGCAGTGCATACGCCACCTGAACTAGGAGGCTCAGTGGGCTGTCACGCGCTAAGCACCTTGGGCAGCGAAGGTGTTGGTGATGATGACCTCGATCTTGTGAGTCAAAACCCCACTAAAATATGCACGTTTACATGTCTACTGGTGGTCTGTGTGTGCAAGACTGCTGTCCTACGGACAATGACAGAGAACCTCGCACTCGACAGCCAGTGAAATAAAGAAAAAACATTCAATAAATAATTTTGAACTGTACAAGAGACCGCGGACGGGGTTCTTCTTCTGTGTGACCCAGATCGGAGGTCGTCGTGTAGGTAGACGAGCGGCCGCTACATGAACGGGGTGCCAAACAGGTGTTAACAAAATCTGTAGCTTCGTGCAGTTGATGTTGTACAACTAGTCTACATGTGTAGAACGTCGGTGCGTTGCACGCTGGGAGATACTCTGTCTATTCTACAGACGCGCAGACTTAGGTATGCTTCATGGGTTGTCTTTGGTCGCTTCGTAGAACCCGGTGGGTTCTTGGCGTTGACAGCTACAGGTTCCCCCGCAAGGAGGACCGTCGCCGGACGTACATGTGCCCATACTGTTGCGTTCCCACTGGCTGTGTATATATGATTACGGACTGCAGGAGGTGTGTTTCTCGGAGGAGATGGACGGCATGCAAAGCAGCGGTGACAGCAGTAGTAGCTGCGGCAGTGACGACTACCTGGCAGGGGACGTTGGCGGCAATAGTCTTGGAGCTCAGAGATTACGCATCAACGAATGGGTAGACCTGGATACTACCGGTCATAACAGCAACCAGCACGAAGACACTTGTGCAAACCTGGAATGGTCACAGTTCATCAACTCCGCGCATGGGGTGTTTCAGTACTTGGAAGAGGCGACGGCTGTAATACTTGATGTGCCTGGTTTGGAACCTCCTTCCTCACGTCATGAGCACACATCACAGCTACTCGACAACACGGTGGAAGATACTGACGGAAAGCCGGGCCTTGCTACCACGTCATCTGGGGTGTTTCTCCCGGGAAATAGTGGTACACCCTCCGAACCAACGTGTTCTCTTCAGGCGACACCCCCTAACCTTCTTGGTGTGAACGAGAGCCTCAAGGTCATGGTTGAATCGTCAGGTCATGAATCCAATCCTGAATACGACGGGTCCAAGACGCCCGTTGGCTCGGGCTCGGCGAAGCAAGCTTGCCCTGAACTTCCTTCTGGTCAAACGCCTCTATCGACGAGCAGCGAGCGGGACACGCTGCCTGCGTTGGTTCCAGTTGCCAGTTTGCCGACCGCTATTGTACCCCGGGAGAGCTTGTCGGGACACCCGTCCGCGAAAGATGTCCTGCATTCCCTTGTCGATACAAAAGGGTCCGAACCAGAACTACCTTCGGATCCAGCTGCCGAGACAAGCAACATATTTCCTCGGCAGCAGGAAGGAGCCTTGTCCTTGCCCGTACAGCCGAAGAAAGGAAGTGCCGGCATCGAGGGCGGGACGTCGATGGTCGTCGATACTGTTTCTCACACGGATATGGTAGCATCTGTGGGAGAAGCCGCGGTTGCAAGGAGGATAGAGCGAGAAATGGCGCGGTCTTTGGAGGCAAAGCGGAAGCGAAGGGACGACAACATCAGAGAGTAAGTGAAACGCGGCATCGTGTCGAATAAACCAGGTCTTCTACGGCGTAGGCTTGAGGCTTGATCTGTTAGGATCACGCACTATGCTATCTTATTCCCCCCCCCCAGAAGTTGAGCCGGGCGTACGACATACTGTTTCTTCCTCGATGTACAAAAATCCTACACCGTATGGCGCAATGGATTGTGGAAAAAGATGTGGGACATCGGCATCCGGGGGAAAATGTGGAGGATGTTGAAAAAGATGACAGAATGCACAAGAAGTGCGGTGATGTTGGATGGGGAAATTTCGAAGTACGTGGATATACTCCAAGGAGTCGCACAGGGCTGTACGATGTCACCCACTCTTTTTAAGATTTACATCAACGACTTGATAAGGGCGGTTGAAGCAGTAAGACAGGGAGTCCAAGTAGAGGGAAAGAGTGTGTCCGGACTGATGTTTGCAGATGATTTCGTGGGGGTATCCGAAACACCAGAAGGGTTGCAAGAACAAATAGATGCGGCGGTAGGATACACCCGAAAATGGAGACTGTCGGCGAACGTAGGAAAATGCGCAGTAGTGGTCTGTAACGAAGACAAGAAAAATCCCGTAGAATTCAAATAGAAATGGGGGGAGGAAGAACTACCGGTAGTAGACAAGTATACGTACCTGGGAGTAGAGATTTCGAAGGAGTGCTCATGGGACGCACACATAGCGAAGTTGATTGGGAAGGGCAAAGCTCAGATAGGCAAGATGGACGAGATCCTTACGGACCCACACCTAGACACTAGGATTAAGAGGTGTATTCTCTTGAATGTGATTGTACCTAAGCTAGAGTATGCAGGAGAGGTATGGGAAGGTAACGAAAAGGCCGTCAAGCAGCTGGAAACGGTGCAGATGGCAGCGGCCAAGAAAATATTAGGATGTTCAAGTACAACGAGCAACACTGTACTGAGAGCAGAATTGGGAATGTACTCTCTTAAAACAAAGAGAGACATGCAGAAGTTGAATTGGCAGTACAAGGTAAGTAGAATGTCGG